GTAGTCTATATAATTTTTACAATCTGGCACGGGTTTAATAGTGCTATCTTTGTTTTCTTTTCTTTTATTTTGTTTTTTTTTTATATGTTTTTTGGTTTTATTTATTTAGGTGGATTGAAGAGGTATCACCCTTTTTTTTTTTCTTTGCCCTTTGTTTTGTGTCTGTATTTCGTAGAAAAGATAATACTGATAGGCATATAGCACCGGCCAATGATCGAAGGATTCATGCCTCTAGGAAGTTAGAGGCCCAAAGGGAGGCAAACAGCTACTAGGTGATGTCACACCTGAGCTTTAAGCCGAGTCACTTGTTGCAGTTAAAAAAGGATTAGCTATAGTTAAATTCTTGTAATTTTACTTGGTTACCATTTTAATAAAATAGTAGCAAGACATGCCAAAAAAAAAAAAATAAAGTTTATAAAATATGTTTTCAAGAATATATTTTATAATAAATATAGATGAGGGTTGGTGACTTAGTGAAGTTGGTAAGTTGTCGCATCCTCAAGTGGCAGAACAAAAGTTCAAATCCCATTGGTGACAAAATTTGAATTTTACAGAATGTGTTATAGCAGACTGTGTGTAATCTAATAGATCATCAGATCTGTAGTTTTGGTCATACTAGCTTATACTGAAAGAACATAAAATTATAGTATGACGCAAGAATTATACAAAACCTGAGTGAAGCATTTGTATAAATCCAAGAGCTAGAGCACATAGAATCCTATTTGGCAAGTTCTGAGTAGAGAGGTAGCACAGATTTTTGACGGTGCTATGTAAAGGATTATCACCTAAGATACAGAAACTGAACAGAACCGAGGTGTTTGGCAAGGCACTATACCAACTAGGCCCCTGGTGAGAATCAAAAGAAGGAGTTCACCCTTTCGAGCTATCTGGATTGAGAGTTTGAGGATCGGTGAAATAGTAAACGGTCTGTAAAGTGAGTGCTGAGGTTTGGGTAAACTCTATAAGGATAGGAGTAGATAATGGTAGCAGCTTCAGCTCACAAGTACTCATTTTCGGACTTGGCATAAGTTACCGAAAGTCTAGATTAGCCAGATTGTGGATATGAAAAGCTCTAGTAATAATGTCTTAAGGATAAATTAGTCCTAAGGCTATGGTACGCATCTGGAACTCTTGACTGATGAATGTAATGAAGATGTTCTAGTGACACAAGGGGGCAATATATGTTATAGAGAGTTTAAATAGATAATCCCTTAGTTGGGTTATAGGTATGGCAGCTAGTATAGAACTTATGATGTATAGTTATCTATATGTAAACTACTTAATTGACGATTCTCCAGTCAACTGAAGAATGATCATAGTGAAACGTGATGTGGTTCTATATATAAATTACTAGCATGGTTAAAAATCTATTTCATTGGTCGATCAAATTTAGAGCTGCATGTGATATGAACCAATCAGAATGATTAATTAAATATATATTAGATATCGAAAAAGCCATATGTAAGTTACGAGACACTACATAATAAAGCAAACCAAAATTTTAGCTAGAGGTTCATTGTAATGTTTGCTTTAATGATCCTGAAATAGTTTTTTCTGATCCCGTTTTAGTTTTGAATTTGCTTAGTAACGATGCCAAGAGGAAACCAACATCAGAATGAGGGACCTTGTACTATATGTGGTCGTCAAGGTTCTGATAAAAAGTTTAGAAAACTAACCAGGCATCTACTTGCTAGAATAAAAGAAAGTTCGGCCATTACTAATAAGCTTCAGATTAATGATCAGCTATATCAGCTTTATTATAATAACTATGTTGTATATGATCGAGGAAAAAAAAAAACCAAGGTATCAAAAAAAGACGCTGACTTTTCTTATAAACCAGGAGGTGCTAATAATCAATTGAGTATGCGATCGCAGAGTAAAATGATAAATATCGATATGAATGATTTAACTATAACCGAAGCTGAAAGAGAGAAAGAATTAATTGAATCGGATAAGGAAGAAAGGGTGTATTACGAAGAAGTCTTGGAGGATGGTAATAATAAACCGCTTGATGATGTAAATTCTCTAATCGAAAATAATACTGAGAGTATTAGTAAGGTTAAGGGTAAAGGTAAATTGACGAATAAAGGAATTGAACCCAAAGAACTATCTCAGATAGTGGAAGAAAATAATGTATCCAAAGATGATTGTAATATTCAAAGCATTGAGTTAATACATGATCAATTTAGAAGTTCAGAGACAATAAATGGTAATTTAATTCGCCATATATAATACTTTATTTAAGAAATTATTATTATTACAAATTTTAATTTTTATAAATAAAATATTTATAGTATCTGAAAATTTTTCAAAGCTTCTTGATATTTAGATCACCTATCTTACTAAAGTACTATATGATCATCAACGTGAGAAAAATTCACCTATTTTTGATGTACAAACATTTATTGAAACAATTGAGAGTCGTGAACCCAAATTAAAGGGACTGTTTAATGCATTCTTTTTAGCTATGAATCTAGAAGGAAAAAACCAGCAAACTAAAGAATTGCTGTACAAAAAAGTTATGTTACTTTGTTATCAGATGGCTAGATTACGAAACAAACAAATAAGTAATGTAAAAGCTGAAATCAGATTATTCATGTTACGGTCAGGGGCGTCTGCATATTGTATAAATACTATGGCTAACATAGGAATATGTACAACTTACCAAACGGTTTTTAATAAGCTTGAGGAGATTGTTAAATCTCATGAAGCGAACGTTCAAAAATATATTAGAAATTGTGTAAGTAAAATTTAAATTTAAATTTAAATTTTAAATTTAAATTTTTGTAATCGTAATACTTAATAAATCACTTTGAATGATAGTCAAATAATCTTATAGTTTGCTATATCTATAATTACCATAATCTTCATGGGATATGAATATCTAGTACAACGTCAATACCTCAGATAGCACACATGGCAACCATATTGTTTAATACAGCAAAAACTTTACCAATTCCTTTTTATTCTAAGTATGGATTTTCAGTTCACAATTTTAATGGCATAGACTCTGTTCTCCTTAAAACTATTCTTTGGGAACAATATATGGTTTCATTTGCCAACAGTTATAATTTTGAAAAAATTAATTGGAAGTAGATTCGTGACATAATATATGTAAATGAATCTGAACTTATCGAATCACTAGTTGTATATTCTTATGACGCTGATATTTTTGAAAGATATGGACGTCAATTTAATCAAATAAAGCTTATTGACTTAATGGAATTGGATTTAAAAAATATAAAAAATTATATTGAAGCTATTAAAACATTTATAGAGTTTGTAAATTTAATCAATTTTATAAAATTATTGTAATATTATATTTAAAAATTAACAATATAAACTTATATTAAAA